CATCGACAACAATACAATAATAGTGGGGGACTTTAACACCCCCCTCACTGAAATGGACAGATCGTCTAAGCAAAAGATTAACAAGGAAATAAAGACTTTAAATGACACACTGGACCAAATGGACTTCACAGACATATTCAGAATATTGCATCCCAAAGCAACGGAATACACATTCTTCTCTAGTGCCCATGGAACATTCTCCAGAATAGATCACATCCTAGGTCATAAATCAGGTCTCAACCGGTACCAAAAGATTGGGATCATTCCCTGCCTATTTTCAGACCACAATGCTTTGAAACTAGAACTCAATCACAAGAGGAAAGTCGGAAAGAACTCAAATACATGGAGGCTAAAGAGCATCCTACTGAAGAATGAATGGGTCAACCAGGAAATTAAAGAAGAATTTAAAAAATTTCATGGAAACCAATGAAAATGAAAACACAACTATTCAAAATCTTTGGGATGCAGCAAAGGCAGTCCTAAGAGGAAAGTATATAGCAATACAAGCCTTTCTCAAGAAACAAGAAAGGTCTCAAGTACACAACCTAACCCTACACCTAAAGGAGCTGGAGAAAGAACAGCAAATAAAACCTAAACCCAGCAGGAGAAGAGAAATAATAAAGATCAGAGCAGAAATCAATGAAATAGAAACCAAAAGAACAGTAGAACAGATCAACGCAACTAGGAGCTGGTTCTTTGAAAGAATTAACAAGATTGATAAACCCCTGGCCAGACTTATCAAAAAGAAAAATGACCCAAATCAACAAAATCATGAATGAAAGAGGAGAGATCACAACCAACACCAAAGAAATACAAATAATTATAAGAACATATTATGAGCAACTCTATGCCAGAAAATTAGATAACCTGGAAGAAATGGATGCATTCCTAGAGATGTATCAACTACCAAAACTGAACCAGGAAGAAATAGAAAACCTGAACAGACCTATAACCACTAAGGAAATTGAAGCAGTCATCAAAAATCTCCCAAAAAACAAAAGCCCAGGGCCAGATGGCTTCCCAGGGGAATTCTACCAAACATTTCAAGAAGAATTAATACCTATTCTTCTGAAACTGTTCCAAAAAATAGAAATGGAAGGAAAACTTCCAAACTCATTTTATGAGGCCAGCATTACCTTGATCCCAAAACCAGACAAAGACCCCATCAAAAAGGAAAATTACAGACCAATAGCCCTGATGAACATGGATGCAAAAATTCTCACCAAAATACTAGCCAATAGGATCCAACAGTACATTAAAAGGATTATTCACCACGACCAAGTGGGATTTATCCCTGGGCTGCAAGGTTGGTTAAACATCTGCAAATCAATCAACGTGATACAATACATTAACAAAAGAAAGAACAAGAATCATATGATCCTCTCAATAGATGCAGAAAAAGCTTTTAACAAAGTACAGCATCCTTTCTTGATCAAAACTCTTCAGAGTATAGACATAGAGGGTACATACCTCAATATCATAAAAGCCATCTATGAAAAACCTACCATGAATATCATTCTCAATGGGAAAAAATTGAGAGCTTTCCCCCTAAGGTCAGGAACGCGGCAGGGATGTCCACTATCACCACTGCTATTCAACATAGTATTGGAAGTCCTAGCCACAGCAATCAGACAACAAAAAAAATCAAAGGCATCTAAATCGGCAAAGAAGAAGTCAAACTCTCACTCTTTGCAGATGATATGATACTTTATGTGGTAAACCCCAAAGACTCCACCCCAAAACTGCTAGAACTCATACAGGAATTCAGTAAAGTGGCAGGATATAAAATCAATGCACAGAAGTCAGTGGCATTCCTATACACCAACAAGACAGAAGAAAGAGAAATTAAGGAGTCGATCCCATTTACAATTGCACCCAAAACCATAGGATACCTAGGAATAAATCTAACCAAAGAGACAAAGGATCTGTACTCAGAAAACTATAAAATACTCATGAAAGAAATTGAGGAAGACACAAAGAAATGGAAAAACGTTCCATGCTCATGGATTGGAAGAACAAATATTGTGAAGATGTCAATGCTACCTAGAGCAATCTACACATTCAATGCAATCCCCATCAAAATACCATCCACTTTTTTCAAAGAAATGGAACAAATAATCCTAAAATTTGTATGGAACCAGAAAAGACCCCGCATAGCCAGAGGAATGTTGAAAAAGAAAAGCAAAGCTGGCGGCATCACAATTCCGGATTTCCAGCTCTATTACAAAGCTGTCATCATCAAGACAGTATGGTACTGACACAAAGACAGACACATAGATCAGTGGAACAGAATAGAGAGCCCAGAAATGGACCCTCAACTCTATGGTCAACTCATCTTTGACAAAGCAGGAAAGAATGTCCAATGGAACAAAGACAGTCTCTCCAGCAAATGGTGTTGGGAAAATTGGATAGCCACATGCAGAAGAATGAAACTGGACCATTTTCTTACACCACACACAAAAACAGACTCCAAATGGTTGAAAGACCTCAATGTGAGGCAGGAGTCCATCAAAATCCTAAAGGAGAACACAGGCAGCAACCTCTTCAACCTCAGCTGAAGCAACTTCTTCCTAGAAACATCGCCAAAGGCAAGGGAAGCAAGGGCAAAAATGAACTATTGGGACTTCATCAAGATAAAAAGCTTTTACAAAGCAAAGGAAACAGTCAACAAAACCAAAAGACAACCGACAGAATGGGAGAAGATATTTGCAAATGACATATCAGATAAAGGGCTAGTATCCAAAATCTATAAAGAACTCCTCAAATTCAACACCCAAAGAACAAAGAATCCAATCAAGAAATGGGCAGAAGACATGAACAGACATTTTTCCAAAGAAGACATCCAAATGGCCAACAGACACATGAAAAAGTGCTCAATATCGCTCGGCATCAGGGAAATCCAAATCAAAACCTCAATGAGATACCACCTCACACCAGTCAGAATGGCTAAAATTAACAAGTCAGGAAATGACAGATGTTGGCGGGGATGTGGAGAAAGGGGAACCCTCCTACACTGTTGGTGGGAGTGCAAGCTGGTGCAGCCACTCTGGAAAACAGTATGGAGGTTCCTCAAAAAGTTGAAAATAGAGCTACCATACGATCCAGCAATTGCACTACTGGGTATTTACCCCAAAGATACAAATGTAGGGATCCGAAGGGGTATGTGCACCCCGATGTTTATAGCAGCAATGTCCACAATAGCCAAACTGTGGAAAGAGCCAAGATGTCCATTGACATATGAATGGATAAAGAAGGTAGGGTAGATATATACAATGGAATATTATGCAGCCATCAAAAGGAATGAGATCTTGCCATTTGCAACAACGTGGATGGAACTGGAGGGTATTATGCTGAGCGAAATAAGTCAAACAGAGAAAGATATGTATCATATGACCTCACTGATATGAGGAATTCTTAATCTCAGGAAACAAACTGAGGGTTGCTGGAGTGGGGGGTGGGGTGGGAGGGATGGGGTGACTGGGTGATAAACACTGGGGAGGGTATGTGCTCTGGAGTGCTGTGAATTGTGCAAGACAGTTGAATCTCAGATCTGTACCTCTGAAACAAATAATGCAATATATGTTAAGAAAAAGAAGAAGATAGCAGGAGGGGAAGAATGAAGGGGGGAAATCAGAGGGGGAGACGAACCATGAGAGACGATGGACTCTGAAAAACAAACTGAGGGTTCTGGCGGGGGGTGGGAGGATGGCTTAGCCTGGTGATGGGTATTAAAGAGGGCACGTTCTGCATGGAGCACTGGGTGTTATGAACAAATAATGAATCATGGAACACTACATCTAAAACTAATGATGTAATGTATGGTGATTAACATAACAAAAAAAAATTTTTTTTAATGTAAAGGCAACCTATAGAATGGGAGAAAACATTTGCAAACCATGTGTTGGGTAAAGGATTAAAATAAAAAAATACATAAAGAACATACAACTCAGTAATAAACCCAAACATTTGATTTAAAAAATGGACAGAGGAATAGACATTTTTCCAAATGGTCAACAGGTACATGAAAAGATACTCAACATTACTAATAATCAAGGAAATACGAATCAAAATCACAACAAGCTAGCACTTCACACCTGCTAGAACAGCTGTTACCAAGACAACAAGGAACAAACAAGTGCTGATGAGGATGTGCAGAAATGGGAACCATGTGCACTGCTGGTGGGATGTTCAGCCCCTATGGAAAATATGGAGGCCCCTTTAAAAATTAAAAATAGACCAATTATATGATCCAGAAGTCCAAAGGTATAGATCCAAAGGAAATGAAAACAGGATATTGACAAGGTATGTGTGACCCCATGGTTAGTGTAGTATTCACAATAGCCAAGATATGTAAACCACTTAAGTGTTCACTAACAAATGAGTGGATAAGAAGATGTGGTGTGTATACACAATGGAATATTATTCAGCCATGAGAAAGAAGGAAATTCTGATGTTTGTACATCAGGGATGGACCTTGAGGACATTATACTAAGGGAAATAAACCAGAGAAAGGCAAATACTGTATAATCTCATATGTAGAATCTTAAGAAGTCAGACTTGTAAAAACAGTAAAATGGTTGCCAGTGGCTGGGGGTGGGGGAGTTGGGAGATGATGTTTCACAGTACAAACTTGCAACTAATAGATAAATAAGCGCTGGAGATTGAACACACAGATAGTTTATAGGCAATGGTACTGTACTATAAGCATCAAAGTTGCTGAGAGACTAGATTTTAATTGTTCTCACCCCCCAAAAAGATGTAATTATGGGATGTGATAGATGTATTAATGCTACAGTGGTGATCATATCGCGATACATAAATGTATTAACTCAACGTGTTAAAACTTAATGCTGTATGTCAATTATATCCCAGTAAATGTTTTTTAAACCCCAAACCTCCAGTGTTGAGGTAGACATACCTGGGAATCTATGGCGTTCTATTAGATCAGGGTTGAAACACCTAGGGAATTAAGAAGACATCCTTGTTCAGTGTAGACATACCTGGTATATTAGGAAAACATGCCATTTTTGGTAGACACATCTGAGGAATTCGTGAAACAATCCACGTCAGTTTAGATGCATCTCAGGAATTGGGAAGACACCGAATAGTCACACCTGTGAAATTAAGGAGACCTTTCCAGTCAGTGTAGGGAAGACAGAGAAAATAGGGAAACTCCATAGCAGCAAAGATAAATTCCTGTTTTAATGACATATCCCAGGTCCATGGACACACACCTTAGGAATTAGTGACATGTCCCAGGTCAGTTTGTATATACCTACGGAATTAGGGAGACAAACCAGGTCAGAGCAGACACACTTGAGGCATTAGGGTGACATCCAAGTCATAATAGAAACATCTGGGAATTAGGAATTCATGCAAGTCAGTGTGGACACAGGTGGCCTACAAGGGGATACACCACATCAGAGAAGCCACACCTAGGAATTTCCAGAGATATTTAAGTTTAGGGCAGACACACTTGGTGAATGAAGAAAAAATTCCAAGTCAGGGTAAAAACGCCTGGGGAAAGATCCCAGGTCAGTGTAGAAATAGCTATGGAATTAAGAGGATATCCAAGGTTATTGAAGACCCATCTGGGAAATGAGCAACATATCCCAGGTCAATGTAGACAGAGCTGGGGAATTAGTGACACAATCCAGATCAGAGTAAGCACAACTGATGATGAGGGAGACATCCTAGGTCAAAGACACCCCTGGTTATTTGGGAGACCTATAGTAAGTGTAGAAACAGCTGGGTAATTAGAATTTCCGGGTCAGTAAAGACACACCTGGGTGTGTAACACACATGGGTAATTAGATGGCCAGTGTCTGCACAATTAGGGAAACATGCCAGGCCTGTGTAGACAAACCTGGGGATTTGGGGAAACATCCCAAATCAAAGTACCCACACTTGGGTTATTTGGGAGAAATACTAGGTCAGATTAGAAACACCTCAGGAATTTTGTAGACATCCCGGGACAGTGTAGATATACCTGGGGTTTGGGAGACCATCAGGTTAGAGTAAACATACCTGAGGAACTAGAGAGAATTTTCTAGTTGAGAGTGAACACATCGAGGTTATTAAGGTGGCTTTCCAGGTCAATGTAGATACACACAGGGAATGAGGGATATGAAACAGTTTGTAATAGACACTCCTGAGGAAGTAGATACATCCCAGGTCAGTGTGGACACACCTCAGGAATAGGGAGATAGTCATGTTCATGGTAGACACATCTAAGCAATTATAGGGAAATCCCAGGTAAGATTAGACACATCTGGGGAAATACAGGTATATTCCCAGAAGGAAGGAGACTTCACAGATCAGTGTATACACACCAGTGGAATTCGAGATACATCCAAGATTGGGGTAGACAAAACTGAGATTTATAAAGACATCACAGGTTAAAAAGACATAACTTGGGAAGGAGGGAGACATCCCGGTACAATTTAGACATACCTGAGGAATAGGAATGGTATGTCTGGTAAGTCTAAACATACCTGGTGAAGTAGGGGGACACCGAGGTCAGGGTACACACACTGGGGAAGTAGACAGCCCAGGTCACTGTATACACACCTAGCTCCTCAGGGAAAATTCCCAGGTCTTAGGTTGACTTCTTAGGTTGACTCCTGGGAACTTAGGGGAGTGCCCAGGTCAGTGTAGACACACCTTGGCAATAATGAGACATCGTAGACCACATTCTTCATGCTGGGGAAACCAGGGAGATATCTCTGGTCAGGGTAAGACAAACCTAGGGAATTCAAGGTACAACCAGTGAGTAAAGACACACTTGGGGAATTACTGGGATTTCCAAAGTCACTGGAGAAGCACCTGCGCGATTAGGGAGACAACTCGGGTCACTGTAGACTGGGAATTTAGGGACTCATCACATATTAGACTACAGACATAGGGAATAAGGGAGACACCCCAACAGAGTGTACACACATCACTCGATTTAGAGAGACATCCCAAGTCAGTGTACACATACCCGGAGAATTATATGGGAAATATCAAAGGTGAGTATAATTAGGGAGATATCCAAGTTCATGCTGGACACCCCTTACATATTATGGAGACATTGCAGGCTAGTGATGGCGCACCTGGGAAAATAGGGAGACATTCACATCAGTGTAGACTAACCTAGGGAATATGGGAGATCTACCAGGTCAGGGTAGAGACACCTACGGTATTAGGGAGACATCCTAGGTAAGGTTAGACATATATGGCGAGTTAGAGAATCATTCAAGATCAGGGTAGACACCCCTAGGGAATTATGACATCCCAGGTTAGAGCAGAAAAACCTGCAAAATAAGGTGACATCAGAGGTCATTATACATAAACTCATAGAATTAGGGAGCTATCCAATACAAGAGTAAACACTACAGATACTAGGCATCACAGGTCAGAGTAGACACACCTGGGGAATAAGGAATATCCAAGGTCGGTGTACACACATCTGGTGAATTAGGGAGACTCCCAGGACAGTTTAGACACACCTGGGAATAGGAAGACCTCCAAAGTCAGGTTGGACACACCTTAGGTACTGCTGGGACATCACAGGCCAGAGTAGACATGCCTGGGTTATTATGGAGCCATCTCAGGTCGTTGTAGTTACACCTGAGGAGTTAGACATCCAAGTAAGAGCAGGCATACCAGGGAATATGAGAAACATCCTCTATCAGTGTAGACACATCTGGGGAGATAGGGGGACATCCAAATCAGTTTAGAAACACAGGGTTGGGGCACCTGGGTGACTCGGTTGGTTAAGTGTCCAACTCTTGGTTTTGGCTCAGGTCATAGTCTCAGGGTCTTGAGATCGAGCCCCATGTCAAGCTCCATGCTCAGCAGGGAATCTGCTTGGGATTCTGTCTCCCCCTCTCCCTCTGCCCCTCCCCTTACACACACACTCCAATACATAAATAAATCTTTTAAAAATGTTTAAAAGAAACACAGGGAAAATATGGAGAAATCTAAGGATGGAAAGACACCTTGATATCTAATTCTACAGGGAATACCAGCTCAGAGTAGACACACCTGGAGGATTAAGGTGCTATCCCAGGCGAGGGTAAACATAACTGTGGAATCAGAAAAACAACCCAAGTCAGTTTAGATACACACCTAGGGTATTATGGATGCAAACCACATCAGGTGCGACCTACCTGGGGAGTTATAGACACCCATGTTCACTGTATGCATACCTGGGGAATTAGGAAGGCCTCCATGTCATTGTAGACACATCTAGGGAATTAACAAGACCTTCCGAGTCAGCAAAACATAGGGTCAATTATGGGGACATCCAAGGACAGGGAAGACCCCGTGGGAAACTTCAGGTCAGAGCTGACACACCTGGAGAATTAGGGCAAAAGCTGGTCAGCATAGAAACACCTGGGGATTTAGAAAGACAAACCACATCAGGGTAGACACACTCGGGTCATTCAGGAGACCCCCCGAGGCTGCGGCAGATACAACTGGAACTCCGGGAGATACCCTAGTTATTCTGGACTCATCTTGAGTATTTAGGAGACACATGAGGTCAGAAGAGTTCCGCCAGGTATATTAGACATTCAGGTGGTACAGATACACCTGCGGAATCAGGTAGCCATCCCAAGTCAGGGTAGACACAGATGGGAGATTAAGAGAATATTCTAGGTATTTATGGACACAGCATGGGTACTAGAGAGACCTCTCAGGATGAAATAGACAAACCTGGGTAAGTGGACAGACATCCCACGCCAGTCTAGACACATCTGCTGAAGCAGAGGGACAACAGGGGTGAATACCAGTGCTAATTTAGGATTCAGCCCAGATCAGTATGGACACAACTGGGGAACTGGGGAGATCTTCCTGGTTAGTATACACATAGCCAGGGAATTAGGGAGACAGACCAAGTCAGAGTTGACACATCTGGGGAATTAGACCTCCTGGGTCAGTATAAACTCACCTGCGGTGTAAGTAGATATCACAGGTAACAACAAACACACATGGGGGAATGAATTAGGCAGACAACAGTCAGTGTAGACACACCTGGTTGTTAGGGACAAATCTCAAATCCACATAGACATGCCTTGGGAATTAGGAATGCATTCCAAATCATTACAATTTAGAGAAATTTTGAGATAACCAAGGACAATGTTGACACAGCTGGGAATTAGGGAGATATCCCAGATAATGCAGACACACCTGGGGAATTAGAGATACATCCCAGGGCAGTGTAGACATACACTGGAGACCTCCCAAGTCTATGTGAGCACACCTGGGGCATTAGACGTAACAGTTTTCAGTTAAGATGCATCTCAGGTCAGTGAAACACACCTGCTGTAAGAGTTAGGGGCCCAAGGTCAGAGCAGACCCCTAGGGAAAGGTGGGGAGGGAGATAAGGGAGGAAGAAGAATGGCAGGGCCCAGGCCGGGGGAGAGGGTCATAGGGAGTTAGTGTTCAGTGGGGACAGCGTTTCCATTTGCAAGAAAGAGAGTCCTGGAGATGAATGGTTGTGGGTGCGCAACAGCGTGAATGGTCTTCATGCCACCGAACTGTGCACTTAAATGGTTAAGATAGTAACTTTTATGTTATATACATTTTACAATGAAAAATTAGAATAAAAGAACAGGTCCACGCACAGTTTCTCAGCTGTGCTCTGTTCACATTAAACAGGTGATAGCGCCTGCATGTTGGGGCCACTGGGAGATTAAGTAACGATACACCTCAGGTATCTTACAACAGTGCCTGCCTCTTCGCAAACGCTTGGTAAGTATCAACTGTGGCCTTCGTTCTGCGTGAGTTTTCTAGTAAATAACTAGAAGTAGAACTGTTCCTTTAAAATAGGATTTGAAATATACTATTCATTGCTAAACCAAAAAAGAAGAAAAAGGGGAGGGTCAGTCTGTCCATTTCACCGTGGATGACTGGGCCCTTCCCCGACTCCCTGAACCACCCCCGAATCTCTACTAGTCGCCCCGCTCTGTGCCGAGATGCCTGCGAGCTGGCTGCCGTTCGCGCCACAGACGGTAGAAAAGCATCTGGTGGCATGAGAGTTGTCTACATGACAGGCGACGGTGGCTTGGACTGGGGACTATGGAAAGATGGGGGAAATATTCCAGAAGTGGATGTGACAGCATGTGATGTTGGGTAGATGTGGAGAAAGTGGAAGAGAAGAATCAAGGGAACGCCCAGACTTCAGGCACGAGAAACTTGGCACCAGCAAGGGGGCCCAGCGAGGCTCCGGGGGAACCCGCAGCGGTGCAGGATGGGGAGAAGATTTCAGAGTAGGTACAGAAGAGTGGATAATGGCTAGACTCGGTGAGCCAGGGAATTAAATAGCTTAAGCAACGTGTTTAGTATAAGCAAGTGTCCAATAGTGTGAGGTCCTGGGGAGGACATCAAGTAGTCCACGGGACACGCGATCACGGGCTCCGAGGGGGAGACACACAAGCCTGTGATAGACGTGGTATTTATGGCCACGGGTGTGGATCAGGGGTCGGCACACTATGCCCACAGGGTAAATCTGACTGGTTGCCTGTTTTTGTGAATAAAGTTTTATTGGCACACAGTCGCACCTGCTCATTTACATGCTGTCAACGGCTGCTTCCTTCTACAATGGCAGGCAGCTGAGGGATTGCCACCAAGACTACTGCCCACAAAGCCTAAAACATTCCCATCTTTTCCAGAAAAGCTGACCACACTGGAGTAGAGCACTGAGCAAGAATGTACTGAGACAGAGGGGACAGGTGTCACAGCTGAGGGACTTCAGCATTTACATGATGCTGGAAGGAGGCGGCTGGCTGACGAGCGGGCAGGGGGACAGGAGGAAAACCAGGAGCGCTTAATGATGGAAGAGTTGAGAGAAGGGAGGGTGTCAGCAAGAGTTGGCCTGACTCCCCTCGACTCCCCACCATGTGCTTGCCTGGTTCTGAAGACGAGGAGACCTCTGCAGCTCCACCCCACCCTGAGATGCGATGTCCTCTCCACTTGATGATGGGTTCAGCCTGAGACGGGGAGTTCTTGGCTGAAGGCCTAGTGCTCAGGGAAGTGCCCTGGCCAGGCTGGCTCGTTCATGGGCACCCAGGAGGGCGGGGGGTCAGACGGTGGGCACGTGACACTGGGTCCACCCCTGAGTGTCTGTCCCCCAGGACCTCGGATACATCCTTCTCAGCGGCCACTCCCCCCAAACTTCGCGGGTGGCCACCTTCAATCCCCACTGCCGCGGTGGGGAGGTCCACGCACACTGCGGTTCTACGTGGCAAGCCCTTCACTGATGCACCAGGCCCCAGAAATGGGAGGCCCAGGCCATGCACGGGGTGGGAGTCCCCGCGGTGGTCGGGCACTCCCCACTCGGGGCGAGGGCTTCCGCAGTGCTTGGTCAGGCCAGCGGGACGTGCTCACGCTTTGCCAGAGTCCCGCAAGCTTCCCTGTCGGACTCTCGTGATCACAGGTACCACTGTGGCCACCCGCGCAGTCCGCACGAGCCAGGACCCCCACGAGGGCCCCACCCCCACACAGTCGCGGGGTTCTGCCTCATTCCTGACACCAGTTTCTGCATTTTGAGGCGACTGAGTGCCAATTATGCTTCAGGGGCATTCTGCTCAAAAAGGGAATTTACGGTCTGCATTTTTCTTTCCAGTCTCTGATCACAAAATGGTGATTGGATGTGTCAACCAACATGAGCAAACGCAAGGGGGCATCTGGGAGGGAGGTGAGACAGCTTACTTCCCCTCCGAACCAAGCTGGACCCCGCACTGCCCACCTCCCCGCCCCGCAAGGGAAGGGCTGGGGTCTCGCCGCACACGCGGAGACTCTGGCTTAGCAGGCTGGGGTGCAGACGGCGCCATCAGTAACTGCCCTGGGGGGACGGGTAAGGTCACTTCTGTCCCCCTTACAGGGTCAGCACGCGGTGCCACACCGACGTCCCCTTCCTGGCTCCAGACACGGCAGCAGCACGGGGCCCTCTCATCCTGGGGCGCGCGTGGCTCCAGGGAATCACCACCGCCCCAGCAGACGTCCTGCAGACGCCACCCCGTGCGGCTGTCTCCCTGCCCCCGAGGACGAAGCACTTGGCACTGACAGCGACAGTGACAAAGGAGGAGCGGCCGGTGCACTTCCCCAGGCCCCGGGGAGCGCACGGACACCCACGTGCCACGGTGCTCACGCGCTGAGCTGACGGCGCCTGCGTCACCGCCCCCGCCCCCCCCCGCGTGCCGGCGTCACCCCCCCCGCCCCCCCCCCGCGTGCCGGCGTCACCCCCCCCGCCCCCCCCCCGCGTGCCGGCGTCACCCCCCCGCCCCCCCCCGCGTGCCGGCGTCACCCCCCCGCCCCCCCCCCGCGTGCCGGCGTCACCCCCCCGCCCCCCCCCCGCGTGCCGGCGTCACCCCCCCGCCCCCCACCGCGTGCCGGCGTCACCCCCCCGCCCCCCACCGCGTGCCGACGTCACCCCCCCCGCGTGCCGGCGTCACCCCCTCCCCCCTGGCCAGCGTGCTCGCCCCCCCACGTGTCCCCCGCGTGCCGGCCTCTAGCTCTCGCCCACCGGTGCCAGATGCCGGCGTTTACACGTCTAATTGCTCTAAATACAGACAAAGCGGCGGTGTGGCCGCGTGGCCGGCCGGCTTTGCGCATGCCCAGACACTGCACCCGGCGTCTGCTAGCAGGAGAGAGCCCAGAGCGCTGGGGCCCTTGGGGTGCCCGACCCAGGCCCCCTCTGCGCCGCCGCCAAAGCGCCCTTGTCCTCCCCGCTCTGCCGGCTGGAAGCGATGGCCCCGCAGGCAGCCTGTGCAGGTAAACCCGTGAAGTTCCTCGTGCACGCCAGGCGCCTTGTCACCCTGTCTTTCCCGGGATGGACCGTGGATCCCCCCACAGCGGGAGGCTTCCAGCCGCACACGT